GGGAGCACAGACTTTTGCATAACGCATAAAGCATGTGCATAAGGAATTTCATTGGTCCATTTTCTTATGCATGAGTCAATGGACCAATCAAATTCTTTATGTATATGGTTTATGCGTTATGCAAAAGTCTATGCTCCCCGCTTAAGTGTTGATAATAGTAATATTTAATAACTTTAAGTCAAATTTATGTCACTGTTTATTTTTACTTCGATTTTGTTGAAACATTATAATATTGTCTTCTTCTGCTACTTTTTCTAAGACTCCAAAAATATACATTTTACTCGTATGCATACATGCACATTGAGTAAAATTGATATAGACAATTTATGTAAAATCTGTAAAGTGTTTTTCTTAATAATGTCTATTACTTATATTAAATTAACTACTAAAACTATCTGAAAGTCTACATTCGGCAATGGAAATACAGCTAGTGTCGAAAAAGACACCGATTCATGCTGCAATGCACATGTAAGCTTAGTTTATAAGCTTAGCTTATTATGCACATGTGAATACATACATACTTTAATTACAATTATTAGATATTAAAGTAGAGATGTCAATGTTTATATGCATTGTGTATCTGTGTGTATACATGTGCTGCTTCCTAGTGTGATTTGCAACATAACAGCGCGAAATACCCACTATTCTAGGAATACTTTTTGTGGTGGCAGGCCTATTTTTTTTGGCGACAAGAAAAGAGAGAGTCGGGAGATTTTAGAATGAGACAACGCAAAACTAAGCACACCATGTATACTTCCACCATGGTGAAAACTGACATCAGATTTGTAATCTGCGACCCCGAAAACCCTCAAGTAACTCGTTTCAAGCAAATTCATCCATTTTTTAGAAAGCTGTCGGCCATATTGGATCTGCCATTTTAAATTTTAAAAAACTGACATCGGATTCGTAATCAGCGACCCCAAAAACCCCTGAATAACGAGTTTCAAGCGAATTCAGTGAATAGAAAAATGCGTGACTGAAAGGGTTAAGGCGATATTATGGATGTTTTAGTGTTTTAAGACTTCCATAATATTGCATAATTGTTTTAATCAGAGCGATGAACTATCTTAGGGTTATCTTGCTATCTTACCTGTGTCTGCAGGCTATCTTAT